ATGGAATCTAAAGCTAGGATCATCAGCAGCTTCTCTCAGTAGCCTAGTTAAATACTCCATTACTAATACAAATAGTAATGGAGATAAAGGGTCTCCCTGTCTTAGCCCTCGCCTATCCTTAAAAACACCACAAGTTTGTCCATTTAAATTAATAGAAAAAGATGTTGTACCAACACATTCCATTACCTTCCTAATGAAAGACTCTGGGAACTGGTAAGCTCTGAGCATCTCATCAATGAACTCCCGTTCCACCGAGTCATAAGCCTTTTTGATGTCGATCTTCATGATACAACGTCCACTTATCTGCTTCCTCCCGCACAATCTGATCAGCTCTTGTGATACTAGAACATTGTGCAGTATCCGTCTTTGACTAACAAATGCACTTTGATTCATATTAACAAGTCGAGGCAAAACTTCTTTAAGTCTTCCACAACATTCGAAATGCATTTATAGGTTACATTGCAGCACGCAATAGGCCTGTAGTCTAATGCATTCAGAGGGCTGTAGTTCTTCGGGATTAGAGCTAAAAGTGTTGAATTCATCTGCTTTAATATCTGGCCTTTATCGAAAAATTCCAAAACTGCCTGAATAACATCCTCTTTTACTGCACTCCAAACTCCCTTGAAGAAGCCACTTCCATATCCATCGGGATCTGGACTCTTATAGCTGTGTATTCTCTACATGGCTGTCTTGATTTCTTGAACAAAAACTGGTTTTAACAGTCTCAACTGCTGCTGCCATTCCAGCACAGGTCCTTGCTGAAACATTTCTGCTTAAGAGGTCTGGCTGCTGCTGTTTTGGCCTAGATGTTTCCGGAAGAATTCCACAAAGTGCTCTTTGATAACATCCCAATCCCTGATCACTACTCCATCTTGTATTATAGAGCATATACGATTCTTCATATTCCTTTGCCTCAGTCTGGCATGGAAATGTGTTGAATTGGAATCCCCCTGTTTGACCCACATTTCCTGAGCCTTTTGAAATAGGAGCTTCTATTGCTTTGCTTGCATACATATACCTCTAGAATACTTCTCGTTCCTTCTAATGAAGCTCCCCATCATCAGGCCTGCAATATCAGTTCCTATATGTTCTTCAGTTGATCTGACAATTGCAATGCCTGATTTTGGATATCTAAGAAATGTTTCTTATTAAACTCCTTTAGCACCTGCTTCAGCCTCTTGAGTTTCATCAATATTTGATACATCTTAGTTTCCCTAATAGATGAATCCCAATTCTCTTTAACCACCTACCTAAAGTCATTTGCTTGGCACCACATATTAACAAATTTTAAAAGGCTTTGGCTTCCTGATTATACCACCATCAAGTTGAGTAATGATAGGAGTATGATCCGAAACCTCTTCAGCTAGAATTGTGGCTATTGAGTTGGGGAATGCTTTTAGCCAGTCTTCATTAATAAGCACTCTATCAATTTGGGAGCAGATCCTAGCTTCTCCAATCTGCTTGTTTATCCACCTGAATTTGTGCCCCTGTTGTTTTATATCCTGCAACCCACATTCTAGCACACATCTCGATATCCCCTATATCTACGCTACTATAACCTTATTTCCACTTAATCTTTCATCCACTTGCATAACATTATTTAAATCACCCATTACAATCCATGAAGATTTATCCCATTAGCTACCCTTATCAGACTCTCCCACAACTGCTCTCTTTCACTGCTCACATTAGACTCATATATTGCTATAAAATAAAAAATAATACTACTGTTTACTACTTCCACTAAGCAGTGTAAACTTTGTTCACTCTGATTTAAAACACAAAACTTTAATTAAGTTAGGTGTCTAGATAACACATATTCTACCCCTGTTACTATGCTAATTCACAGTATACTCATACCCATGCCAATATTTATTTATGATCTCCTTAGTTCTTTCACTAGTCAATTTAGTTTCCACTGTGCATAATAAATCAGCTTGATGCATCATACTTAATCTATTCAATTCTCTGTGTGGGAGGGTTTGCTGGGGTGGTTAGGGGATTATGGTGAGGGATGGTTATTACCGAGAGGTCGAGGGTTCGATTCTCGCTGGGGCCATCCAATTTTTTAAAAATAAAAAAATAGTTCTATTCAATTCTTTTTGCTTGACAGGACTATTTAAACCCCTAATGTTCTAATGCAATATACTTATCAACGTCTTGATTGTCATCCTCTTTATCAACTACGCTTCCTTCCTGTGGCTGTTCACACAACTCCACTAGACTAAATCCATTTGATGCATCAATTTTTTTTTTGAAAAGGTACTTGTATATTAAGAAAAGATACATATAATATTACAACGCATTCTATTATATGATAGGTTATGTAATTCTACAACATCTTGTCTACTCAGTTTAGTCATGCAGTGTGCATGACTGAAAAGAAGAAATAGTGATATTCAATAAAGAGACCACCTCTTGAGCCTCGAAGGTATATCAGGGGATCGCAAATCTCCGATAAGAGCTTCACAATCCATAGAAATCATAAGACTAATAATACCCAAATTTGCTTCCTTCAAAGCCATAAGACATATCATTGCCTCTGACTGAAAAGGAGAAAGCACATTTAGATCCACTGTTTTGATTTGTATTACCATCCCATTTGGTGATAATATCTTCCACGCTCCAGCTGCTTTCCTTGATTGGTGATTAAATGAACCATCAAATATGACTAAACCTTCCAACTGGAATCTTAAGAGTAGAAACCTTCCAAATGTATAAAGTGCTTCATATCCTAACTAGTATTATCACTAATGAGAATACAAGACTTGTGAAAGTTAATACATTGTCCTGAAAAATTAGTGTAATTTTTCAGTAGTCTTGCCAACGCTAAAACAGCTGACTCCTTGCATACAATAAAGAAGAAGCTATCATCTGCATACATAAGGTGACTCACCCTAAGAGCATGATGACTTATTCTGACTCCCAATCCTGGAAAGTTTTGGATCTCTGGTTTAATTACTAAGGAGAGAACTTGTTGACATAAAATGAATAGATACAATGATAAAGGACAGCCCTGCCTCAAACCTTTATTCGGAGAAAAAGGTGGTAAACTCTCGCCATTAAATTGAATGGAATAAGAGACAAAAGAGACACAATGCATGATTAAAGCAATCAATCTTGGAGGAAATTTGCCTTGTGAAGAACCGCCTGTAAAAAGGAACATGAAACTCGATCATAAGTTTTACTCATGTCAAGTTTGATGGCTGCCAATCCATGAGCACCCTTTTGCTTCCTTATACATTCAATGACCTCATGAGCTATGGGAATATTCTCGCCGATGTTTCTACCGAGCATAAATCCATTTTGATACTCGTCAATAAGATCATTCATTACCTGTTTAAGATGATTTGTTATCATCTTTGTTATGATCTTATACTTAACGTCGCATAAACTGATGAGGCAGAAATCATTTGTAGTTGTTGGTGAAGCTCTCTTACGTATGAGAACCAAATGAGTATGATTCCACTCCGGAGGGAAGTAAATGGTATTAAAAACTTCAAGAATAGATGTTTAAACCTCTGAATCAATAATATCCTTGTAATGATGATAGAAACCTGCTGGCATACCATCCAGTCCCGGTGATTTCTATGGAGACATTTGCTTGACTGCTAACCACACTTTCGCATGCGTGAATTGAGCATCTAAATAAGCAGCTTGATCAGTGGATATGGATTCCTCTACATTATCAAGAAGACTAGTGAAGAATGAGGAGGTTTGTGAGTTTTGAGAACTTGACTCCACTGACATATATATATATATATATATATATATATATATATATATATATATTAGAGAAATGATTTTGGAGCATTGAACGAATTTGGGCATGATCCTGAATCCATACACCTTGATCATCACAAAACTCATTGATCCATTTGTTACCTTTCCTCCTAGCAACCCATTGGTGAAAGCATTTTGTGTTTTTGTCACCAAATTGTGACCAATTAAGCTTTGATCTTGGTTGCCAGTAGTCATGCTGAAGTTGAAGGGCATTCCTCTAATTCCACTCAATGATTTTCCAATTGTGAAGTCAATTGCACATCATTCTTGTTTCCTTCCAATTGCAATTGAACTTGAGACAACTTCTCAAAAAATTTAAAAACCATATTGTCCAAATTATCGTACCTTAGTTTACTCCACTTATGCAGTTTAGATAGAGTTCTATCAAGTTTGAATGAGAGACTTTCCTAAGAATGCTCAATCTACAATGAAGGTTGCATCCAAGCTTGAGAAACCATATCCTTAAAAGTTGGGCAATTGGACCAAAACTGCTCAAATTTCTGCTTCCTTTTATGGTTGTGCTTTGCCTTTAGTTGTACTAGAATTGGACCATGATCAGAATTCATAATTGGCAGATTTCGAATGACAGCTTTGCGAAAGGTGTTGAGCCATGTCTTGGTAACAAAGGCACGATCTAATCTTTCAAAGATTGCCTCATTTCCTTGTCTCTTGTTTGTCTAAGTATACCAACATCCCAGATGTTTCAATTCCTCAAGGTCATTTGAGGACAGAAGTTATTGAATGTTTCTAGTATCTTGAGGTATGACTTGATGACCACCAAATTTGTCTTCTTGATCCACTATTTGGTTAAAATCTCCTAATAGAAATACTAGGATAAGTAGAAGCTTAAATGATCCCATTAATCTACGACCAAAATTCGGGCCTCCCTTGTTGAGGAGGACCATACAAAAACAAGGCCAACCATTACAGACCATGAACTTTCCTAATTTTTTCTACTATTATATTAGAATTATGAAAAAGCACACTTAATTGGACTCCTTCTAACCAAAAGAGACCCAATCCACCACTTAATCCAATTGGATCTATTACAAGAGAATTTTTAAAAACAGATGACTGTCGCCAAGATAATACATTAGCCTTACTAGCCTTAGTTTCTATAAGAAACAAAATACTAGATTTATATTGCTTAACTAACCTACCTACTACATGCTTAGATGGGGCATTACTCATGCTTCTACAGTTCCAAGATAGTATACTCATATCAACGAAGGCGGTTGATTTGGTACAACCACCGCAAAACCTTTTAAAGATTTTATTGCACTACTAATGATAGGCACATTGAAGTTAGAATCAAAGAATGTTACCTGACCGTTTTGTGCCACCAGCTTCCTTTTCTTGTAAGTCTGTGTTCCCCGAGCGACATTGATGTCTGCCTGGACCTCCTCAAGAGATTTGCTCCTCCTCCATAACGATTGAATTTCATGATCATTCTCAGCACTCCTGTTACTAGCAAGTGACAGATGACAATACTTTGAAGGGTCTGTTGAAGAAGAGTTGTTGGGTAGACGTTTCCACTTCCTAGAAACATGGATTGCTTTGAGCCTACTTAATAGATTCACTTTCTTCTCCGATCCAGCCTTCGGCGGCTCCGGCATGCTCCTCACATTAATATCCTTTAGAGCTACCTCAGATTCTGTCCCTTCCTCAATTATCTCTATGAGTTGAGGATTTTGGAATCCTCTAGAGCAACCAGTAGCATGTGTAGCTGTAGCCCCCTCCGCAAAATTTCCCTTGACATGGGGTTCACTGGGCCTCTTCCTCCATTCCATATGCTCTCTCGGTGACCTTTGAGCATAAGTATATTTATGATTTTGTCTTTGGCGGCAGCTAGTCTGACTCACCGGGGTTTGGGGCTTGCATATTGTGAGAGTTATTATGAATGTTGAAACCCCATTTGTCATTGAGGTAATAACTCTCTATTTCAAACCCCCCAATCGAGCTTTTAACAATTCACCAGTAGCCACAGCTTTGGATATAGCATTCCCTAAGGCTTTAATTTGTAAGCCGTTGTGATATTGATTTTGAAGCAGACCAAGGCCAGAATTAATGTAATCATTCACCTTTCCTCTTGAAGCAATCTGGAACTCATGTTATTGAATCGATGAGTTTTGACTACGGGATTTTGCTCTTTGTTGTCTGGAACAGGACGGTTGCCATTTTTTGAAGCTTGGGGTTGCTTCACTTTGATTCCTCATCGGACATAACCCAAGTCCCTCGTCTCCTGCCTTCGGACTCCGATTGGACAGAAGTTAAGTGCTGTTGTGTTGCCCGCTAATTAGCTGGATAAGACAGTAATGGATGGGCGGAGAAGATGAAGCATGACGCGACCCGTACGACTGCCAAAAATAACGGCTATCTTCCTGCCGATGTCGTCGGATTCAAAGCTGCCGCGCGAACGAAGATGCTTGAAGATTTCAAATCTGAGAGCTTCGGGATGATCTACTTGCTAGCTGGCATGATTGTTGGACGGCGACGGTAATTGCAGAGTTCCAATTTGGAAGTATTTTGGGGGACTAATTGGGGCGTGCGAAGTAGTTTTTTTGGGGAGCGTTTATCGCGTTCTATTAGGATATGAGGAGGAAAGATTGATGCAACAATTGTTATAATTGGCTTTGGTCTCTGCAAAATTGACTTGATTACCACATCATTTGCTCTTTCATCTTTCTTCTGTTGTATCTCCTTCTTGTCCACTACTTTCTTGCTCTTAAATACAACCTTCCATTCAGTAACATTATGACTCTTCTTTACCACTGTCTCTTTACCTGCCTCCTTTGTTGGTTTTTCAGACATTTTGTCCTCACATACCTCTTCACCATGCCCAAAATTTTTGCAGCAGCTACATTGAGTTGGACACCATTCATAGTATACTGCCTACTCCGCCACTTTTCCATATTCATCAACAAAATGAGCCGCCAGAGGTGGCTTGTCTTGTATCTCCACTTCAATTAAAACTCGTGCAAAAGTAGCTCTGTCTTTTACTGCTGTAACATTGTCAGCTGCTATCGGCTTACCCAGAATACTTGCAATACATCGCCAAAGTTGCTGGATTCCAATACTTCAATTCCAATCCTAGAAATTGAATCCAGACTGGTACCCCCTTCACCTCTTTGTAATTGGCCCCCTTCTCTATCCTCCAAGGCTTCACAATCACAAGGTTTGCACCAAACTTTTTGATTGGAATAGTAAGTGCTTCATTTGTTGATTCCTCAGTGTGGAAACGAATTACAAACAAACCATTTGGAAGCATAACAACCTCATCAACACCTAAATTTTTCCATAGTCTACGGTAATAAGAATCAATTACCGTAAAACGGTGGGTTAGCCCCCATAACAAAACTGATAAACTGATCACGGAGGACTTCCAGTATTCAATCTAAAGGGAAAGGCCTTTTTGTTTAATCACTGCCATCTTAACTCCATCTTGCTCCTCAGGTTGTACATAATCCAAAGGAATGCCAACATTGCGAAGCTTTTTAATATCAAACGTATTCCATGCCGACACCCCTATATCAGTAGTTTTTATATGCTCAAACCAATCCCAAAATCTCACTGAGCGTCTTCGTTTGCTCCTCACAATTCTCCATTCCAGGAGACCTAGGTTGACCTATGAATCGATGTGGCGATTTTTTGACCCTCAAATGAACTTGCCCAGCTTCCATATCTCTATTTTTCTGTTGTTTATTCATCAATTCCTTCGATGAAACCTCTCTTCCTGTTGCTACAGCTGCAATTTCTCGTTCTTTTTGCAATTTCCGAGTCTTCTTCTTTCCCTTGGCCATAGCCGGTTCACGTTAGCATGAAGACTATCGTGCACCGAGAGAGAACGAAGAGACCGGTTTTAGTTGGGTTAACACGAAAATATGTTAGACAGATGCTTGTCCATTGGATTATTAGTCGTTTGTCTCTTGCATTTCCTGGAGTGTTCTTTTTACATTTTTGAATGTTATGAAAGTGAATTTCCCCTAAATTAAATCCATCACAACGTATATCTTTCAGGTTCTTAGGAGGCAAACGCAGGAGAGGTATTCGAGGGATGACTTATGCAAAAAAGTACCACAGATATAAAGCACGAGATCATTGATCAACTCCAACCTCCTTAAATTACTGAGTGGATATTTTGGTAGCAATTCACTTCGGTCTTCCGTATGTAGGGGTTCTGTTACAAGTTCAAAGATTAGCACGTGTACCAGAACCTGAAAAAGTGGATCAGTAGAAAACACGAGCTTGCTTGAACAACTATTAGTTTTCTACGGAGAATAATAGGTTTCTATCAACTCTAATAAACCAAGTGCTTCATAAAAATTGCGCATAACCACCCCTCCATTTCTGACAATTACAAATGAGGGTTAATCTTTCACTACAAAGTAGTAGTAATACAATGGAGTTTAAGCTACAATTTCAAGTCTTTTGTTACACCATGCTGAATATAAAATGTCTACAAAAATGGCACTTATTAGTTCACGCCATGTGACTAATAAAAGTTTAGACCAAATTGAAGATTGAATAGTATATGGTAACATAAAATAGGAAGTACATGCCCAGAAATGGAAGCATGGTCATATCACATATGTTATAGGGAACAGATCCAGCTTCAAGAAATTTGCTCTTTGAACTCTTGTCCAATAAGTGTAGCCTATAATAAAGGAATACCTCCACCCGAATACTCTACCTCCTGAAATTGAAACAGTTGTTGATGTTAACTACAACTCTGAACATGCACTATTATAATAGATTTCATACAGCAATTGTGTATCCAACAGAATCAGATATGGCTAACACCCACCAAGTTGAGAAGCTTTAACAGCTTTTAACAGATTACCCAAAATCCAGGTACAATTAGAAAGCATTTATACCCAACTCCCAGACATACCAATCATTTATTTCTATTGATCCATCCCCCCTCATTTCCTAATCCACATCCCAAATGTAAGCAAAAATTCTGAGAAATAAGTGATTCCCGTGTCCTAAATAACCAGATAAAGAATGGCGCCTCAATCCAGTGAATACTAAATAGAATTTTATGCAATAATAGAGCCAAAAAAAATTGAAAAATGTGCCTACCTGAGCAGGAGGCAAGGACGAAACCCAATCAGACGCATGAGTTGGAAGAAGGCCTAATGTGTTAAGCTGCAAATGGACAAGCAAGTTCTGATAAGAATATCACTCATAGATGGTTTGCAAAATGAACTGAAACAACAGAAACAACCAACCTTCCAGACGCCTAACCCCAAACCAGCCAAATTAAGGGCAATGTACACCAATTTTGGCGCGAGAAGATCAACTTTATTGTCCTTGTAGGGATCAAAGACTGCAAAAGAAGTTCAAGATTGAGCAACCAGGTCTCGGTGGGAAAAAAAAAAGGGGGGAAAAACAAGAAAACAAATAAACAAACAAACAAAATGAAAATAATGAAAGAACTCAACGCAAAATGATGATAAAACTAGATGACGAAATCAGCACTCTCTTGAATAATAATACAACAGCCCATGTATATAATGGTTTCCGAATACTATAGGCATAAAACATATAATATAACTGTGAAAGCTACCCAATTATCGTACTACAGAATATACAGAAAGTTCCAAAATTTAATCATAAAGCTACGGAAGTTAAGGAAAACAATAGCCGCTCTAACATACAAGCGGCCAGTAAACAACCCATCCAATTTTAAGCAAAAAACCAGGTCATACAATGCATCAATTGGTTTGCATATAAGAGTTATGGCCTGAACATGACATAACAAATCCGAAGAGCACAACAACGATAGAACTTTGCCACATCAATCAGGACATCCTCACAGTAGGCAACAAATTTCAAGAACTAGAAAAAATGGCCAAATACAAAACAAGTACACAAATCTGGCCACTGAGCCATCCCAAGGAGGTGGCAAACAGCTACTGAGGAAAAGGAATCATAAAGCGATTAAACTGAGAGCAAGTGTAAGAAACTAGAAAGAACTGAACAGAAAACACTTTCTAGCCATAAGATGTCAACTACTAAGCATTTTATGCCCCCATGTGAAGTCAGAAATCTGTATATAAATCATATATATTGCTGTCAATCTATCATGCTCTCTCAAAGCGTCAACACATAGTAACACCTTGGAAACAAAAATTTGAGAATAATGCATGCAAACATATCAGAAGGGAGAATCGTTTCACTGATGCTTCTATTGGACGTTAACAATCAAATGCCTTGGATTATTTAAAGCCTGCAACTGCAAGAGATCGATAGGGAAATAATGGACTGACAAATGGTAGGTGAAAAGTCACTATGACAATGATGAAGATAATGGAAACCTAACAAAAAAATTTGAAAACCCTCAGTCCATAGACATTCACTCATTCAAGTTTAATGATTTCAAATAGCACAATAAGAATAGTTTATGCCAACATACATAGAAGTGTTACTCATTTCATGTTGCTACTTGTATGGGGTTTTCGCAAGTAACACCAGATCATTTGGCCGTTTGCGACTTACAATGAAAATTATATAGTGAAAAAGATCACTAAGTGATGGGAAGAAGCCGCGAATGAGAGAATTATCCTCACCACAACCAGAGTTGGGAAAGATGCAACATGGATAAAATAGAGAAGGGATGCATTTCAACGGTCCAATTTGCATCATGTATTACCTTTCCCAATTCCTTGAAGAGCACTTATTGGCTGCCACAGGGCTGAAAAAGTGATACCAATGCTGAACAGGTGGACTGTGCTTCCAGCCATCCACATCATAAATCCCATCATCATCAAGTTCTTAAAAGGAGCTTGCGCAACCTCCCAAGCTTTCTGTTCACATAATCATTCATACAAAAATTAGACTCAATCGAAAATATGAGCATTCATGACCGTTAAAGGAGGAAGCAGACAAATAAAATTACATCTCCAGTATTAGCAACAGGCATATATCACATTAACACAACCCAGCGTCAACAGGCATATATCACATTGGCACAACCCAGTATTAGCAAAATGGAGCCCCCTCCCACCGCAACAGAACAAAACATCAAAAATAGGATGCCTGCACAACACTTGCTGAAGCTTTAGAACTTCCAAATTGAACAGTTATCTTAGCAAAAAAGTGATTCTAGCCCCACTGTTTCAAAAGCAGTTATCATGTCCCCCAATTTTCAGCGCATTCATTCAAGAGAAAGTTTCTAATCACATTTCAGATCACTCAACATTCTTACATTACATTATGATTCCTTTAATTAAGCAGTCTTTATATCAAACAAGGAAATTGGTCTAGGAAAGTTCCAGATATATCAACCGAATGTTTAAATCCACTCTTATAGATGCACATTTTTTAGGATGGTGCTATAGGTTTATGTCCCAGGTAAATTTGATTGTTCTGCGTTAGAACGTCATTCACCGATATCGCTGTTTGAATTATTCATTTTTCTTCCTGAAATCCTTGATACTCAGGCAACTAATAGAGAGGACAAGCCTAGAGGATATCAACTTATTTGCTCTATTCAATCATCCAACTATGGGGGTACGATCTTATTCTTTTTTCAAATTATTGCAAGTAAAAGAATGAGTTCAAAGGTGTAAGTAGGCTCTCTCATAAATACAAATAATTATCTCTTGAAAGTGCTCTGTGAAGGCAATTGGAACATATAAATAACAGAAATACAATCAAAGAAACCAACATTCAGAAACCAAAGTAAGGGCATGCATCAAATAAAGATTAAGGATGATTTCTGTTTGACCAATCCAATATACCAACAGATTGACTCATGCTTCAAAAACACAAGCCCACAGACATGAAGTGTTTCATTGAACAATATGGAAGTAATCATGTACAATGAAAAAGGGAATATCCAACTATTTCGTCAAAAATATCATCCACCAAATAAAATTGACATAAGACGAACAGGCGAAATTCAGCAACAAGACAAACATATTCTTTAGAGCAGAATTATTGAAAGAAAGGGGAGAATACCTAATAATGGGCCTCAATCAAATCGTAAAACGTGATAAACTAATGTAAAACATTCATACAATTCAAGACTATAGTAAACACGCTATAGAAAATCCCTGCTGTTTACCTGGGTTTTCCAATTGGCTTCAGAATCCTTCTTCTGTTTACTCACCGTCGAATCATCCTACCAAGAGACCAATCCCCCCGAAACACAGTAAAGTTAGCATCTATACAATAATCCGAAGCTTACAAATCTGACCCCCCCAAAAAAAAGACAAAAAAAAAACCTGATCATGGGAGGAGCGATTAAACCCAAGAGGGTCAGGGATATCTCTGGTTGAAGGCGCGGACGAATTATCTGTAAAATCTACAGCCCATCTGCGACCCGAACCCATGATTGCTTTTCCTTTGTCCATTCTTGCTGTTATTCAAAAATTGATAATTGGCTCCACAAATAACACTGCTTGATTTTGTGTGCAGTATTTGAGGGGCGAGAGTACCAAACACGATCCAGTTCTCGAAGTCCCAACTATAAGAAGGAAGTGGAAGTGGAAGTGGTGCGGAGATTTTTGACAATTATTAGTACTCTGTTTTTAGTATTTTTGACGACTACTATTTTCTGGTTTATTATTCTTGCTAAGAAAAGAAGTTTTCTGTTGCCAAGGAAAAACGAGACCTATTTTTGCTAATCTTGAATTACATTCACGAAAGAAAATAGTAATTAATTATAATAAGTTATTATTGAATAATTGTCTTTCTAAATTATTTATATTTTCTAATCAGAGGGATTGAAGGTTCGAATCTCATCATAGACCTGGAACAAATTTAAATACGCAAACTTAAATACTTTAATTCTTCAATGATCCAACCTTAAATGATTTGGCCAGTTCTTCCACCAATATCATGTGACGGCGATTATCTTCATAACTTACTTTTTTTTGTTATTTCTTATTTTATAGCCAACTCACAACACATGAGTTGGGCGTTTCCCAAAAAAAAAAATAATAATAATAATAATACCCCCACAATCGGATGAGTATATTACCAAGAATATTCATGTACCCACAATAATATTGATGTTCACTTGCTAGATACAATTCTCTTGGATCTCAAAATAAGAATCAAGTTTTTATTATACTACCTCCTTATTAAAAAATAATTCACTTCGAGTTTTGAGTTTTATAGTGTTTTTAGTATAAATTTAAAAATTTAATGTAAATTATTTTTTTGGGACGGAGCCAATAAGAAGTAGTCTCAAATTTGACAGACATTCAAATTGGCTCAGTAAGCAGTCTGGCGTCCAAATGTACCAAACTCTGAGAGTTTCATAGTTTTTCAAAAGTTCTTGACCAAACTAACAAAAGTTAAAAACAAAACAACTCCTGCAGATTCTTTTCCTCACCTCTTGTAGGTGTATCTCTATTACTAAAACCAGATTCAACATTACAGGGAAAATTGGTATTTCATATAACAAATAATATGAGCAAAATTTTGATAGTTTGGCAGTTGAATTATACAAATTGAGGTACAAAATTTCTCTGGCTGACTAGCTCATGCATATCATTAACAATCTTAAATACAGCATCTGGCTTCGCCAGTCTCAATGCGTTTTGTGACATAAATTTTAGCTCATCATTCTTTGGACCAAACCACTCAGCTACTATTTTGGCGATCTCTTTAGGAGATTTTGAGTATTTTCCGCACCCATTTTCAACCACGTACGGCACATTCCCAGCTTCCTGTATTCCGAGAAAATGCAGCTCTTAGGGTTCTTGAAATCAAAGTTCAGAAGCAACGGAAAAATGGAAAGTCATACACAGAAGTAGGGGAAAATTTTCAAAGGACCATATAAGAAATGGATCATTTTTTTGTGAGAAAGAGGAGACAGAACATGGCAATGACTTTACAATGTTCTTTACGAGAAAGAGGGGACCAATTTACGATGTTCTTTCTTCGGCAATCTTTTCTGAACATGGCAATGACTCTAGGGGTATTTCAGGTGTAAAGCACATAACCAAATGACAAAGAGGGGACAGAATAAGAAAATTCACAACGCCCACATGCGACTTCGTATGAATATTCTTGACATCATACCAGAGATCAGGGTTATTTTTTCCAGGAGAAAAGAGAAAACATTTGTATTTAAGTGAAATTCCATTTTACAAATTGTTTAGGAAACTGAGTAAACGCTATTGTTTTGTTCAACTTATTTCCAGTAAGAAGATTGCTGAGATATGTCAGGTTTAAGTTCGAGTAGGACAATTAAGGATTTCAACATGTTGTGTACTAGACCATTAAAATATGCAATATGTATTGTGTCAATACATGCAAGGTTCACTGCCGCCTCCTCTTTATTTATTTAAATTTAAATAAAAAGGGCTTCCCCACCAGGCACTGCCTGTTTTGATTTATAAAAAAAAAAAAAAAAAACCCACCATGCAAGGTTTTAAACATCGTGCTCAACAGGATTCAAAAGCAGGAATATGTGAGCTAGTTATAAGGGAACAACTTAAGAAAAATTTTCAAGTGATAATACAGCCACTGATCAAGAAGTGACCACATCCTAGGAAACAGCACTGATGTGATCGACGGACGTTCAGGGAAGTACAAAATAATTTACCTGCCCAGCAATATAGCCATTAAGAATGATTGGAAGACCTCGAATCATGGCTTCTGCAATAGTCCCAGGACCAGCCTACCAACAAATGAATGCGTAAATATGGTGATGTAAGGTATGAACTTGCTTCATTTAGTGGCAGAGAAGCTAAAAAAGTTGAAAGCCACTAGAAAATTACCTTAGTAATAATGCAATCACAAGCACCCATGCATTCCTCCATTTTTGTGACAAAACCCTTCACCTACAATCCAAGGTTGTGTTCAGCACATGTATCTCACTGTTCAGATAAAAGAATATAAAAACACTCATATAACCATGCACAATTGAGTTCCTTCAGATTAATGCTTCAGAAATAATGAAGAGAAAACATTGAAGATATCATCATGTATGTTAAGAAGGAGGACACAAGTAATAACTGACATGTACAGGAAGATAATTAAGTTAATGTTCAAGTCAGAGAACTTCATCCACTAGCAATGACAAAAACATTCACCTATAACGCAAGGTCGTGTTCAGCAATTCAGTGCACTCATTAATTTAAAAAGACATACACAAATAACCATGCACAAAGGGGTAACTTCAGATTAATAAAGCAGGAATCAAGGAAAATCAGTAAAGATCCTATGTCAGTTGTGGACCTCAGAAGGAAGACAGAAGTAGTATAGGACATGTTCTACATAGAGTTAGAATTATTCCCAGTTGTAGATCTAAGTGCGGTTCCTTTAAATATTACATGGTGTAACTTCAGATTAATCCAGCAGGAATCAAGGAAAATCAGTAAAGATCTCATGTCAGTTGTGGACCTCAGAAAAGAAGACAGAAGTAGTATCTGACGTGTACAAGAAAATATCATGTTAATTCTCCATAGAGTGAGAGTTATTCCCGGTTGTAGTTCTAGGTGGTTCCTTTAAATATTGGAAAAGGAAGACATTCATCTAAGAATTAAGCTCAACTTATGGCAATTCAATTAATATAACTGAAAGCACAGTACATAAACACTAATTTTTTGCTCATCATAAGACCTTGCAAATTAACAATGGCAGTATGCAAGCAGTGATCATAGGCTTCAATTAAAATGATCTTAAAATTCTGCTGTCATCTAGCATTAATTAAATATGGCACAAATGGAGAACAAACCATGGAAAGGTTGCACAGAAGAACAAACCACAGCAAGGATTCACAGAAGTACGTACCTGGACTGGTATATTCCAATCAATCGCAAGCAATTTGCTTGCAAGTTTTTTATTGCGACCACATATCACAAGGAGCTGACCCCTGGGCTCACCAGTAGAATCATCATATAATGCATCTCCAAGAGCTTGAGCTGTAGCCTCAATGGGCCCCATACCTTCCCCGCCACCCATAAGCAATACGGCTGGAAGGTATTCATCCATTCCAAGCTCTCTCCTTAAATCAACCTAGAATTTTAACATGAAAACAGTCTGAACTAGTTAATCCAAACAGATTAAGTAAGTCCTCTAGAACACTGCTTCGCAAATCTGAGTAATCAGTCAACACGTACGAAAATAAACGAAAGAATAGATCATCACAAATGAAAATGCTGAGATGGATGTGCAGCAGACTGGTTAATTTAAGATTAGTAATACATTAGAAGAAGAAAAAAGTGCTGGAAAATGATAGAAACAACTTCTAAGATGGTTTAGAAATAGAAATCAAAGAAAACGGAAAAGGAGAAATTGAAGACTGGAAATTTCTGAAAATTTACTATTAAATTGACCTTGTGAGTACTGAATCACGATAACAAGAGTCAATCCATGTGACTGAACCCACATATTGAAATGGAACCATAAAGGTTTTTCCGTTTCCTGTTTCAATAATAAGAATGGGATTTAACACGGTTTCCTACATTCCCACCTATTAGTTTTCTAGGCTGTATCATGTTTCTGGGAACAGGCGTCTAATAATTAATTGACTTCACATTTCACTTCACCTGCATGTCCCTCATTATCCTCTAATTTTTACTCTTTCTCCCTTTATACCCAGGCTTTCTCAATTGAAATGCATTAATATCACTAAACACACTAGCAACTTCAAGACTAAACAGAACAGAGATCAAGGCGGCTTATCAACTTGGATAACACAATATAATAAGATGCATAAAGGCTGTATTCCTTGATTAGAATACAGATTGTGTATCAAAAACAAACAAGGGAAATACCAAAGAACAGGTACAATGGAAAAGGACCATCTATTCCAATAAAATACCCTAGGCTCCTGCAATTCATCAAAAAATAAAACAACTGTAATCTAGCGCCTGTCGTCCATCCTGAAATTCATACTTGCTGTATAAGTACAGATAATAGATGCCAAGAAAATGCTGGGTTCTACATATGGAACTGAAGATTGATTACTGTCCCCCAAATGATAAGAGTTTACAGCTGGATGGCAGGGGTAAGCTAAGAGACAATAACAGTTGCTACAAAATGACATTGTTGTCTATCTCATCAGAACTGGAATTCAAGTCAAAGTCCAATTCGCAGCTCCCTATGTGCTGGCTAGATAACGGAATGGTAAAAAGTAGGATCGTAACAGATAAAATTCAAATCTACTTGAAAATGAAGCCATCTACAGGAAAGAACAGAACTAAAGACGCTTCCATGCAAGAGAGAGCTAGTCAAGATATTCTATTTCTAGCTAAATTGGAGTTCACAACAGTGGCAGACACCTTAATAGAGCTCTGATAGTGGACCAGCAAACTTAAATAGCTCCATTTTCGAGTTACAAAATTGGCAGAGCGTTTAAGGGCATATCCAGGCTGCCTGTGTCTAAATTTTTGAGAGGACAGAGAACAAACAACCCCACAGCGAACCTAAAGTCATATGTGCATCTATCAAACAGTATGTAATTTACACTAACTAATACAAAATCAGCATACTCCTACTGGAGTAACAAAAGTAACTGATAGCAAATTCTCTTGGTACATTAAATAACATGGTAGAATGCCTACTAGGTGCCTTCCTATTAAAGTTTCATTTACCCCAACCCTGCTACACCTTTCCAGTCATAACTATAAAATAAAGCAAAAATTAAAAAAAAAAAAAGAAAGAAAAATATTGCATTACACATCGACTACAACGCCAGCACTAATGGTTGCAAATACAGCAAACATGCAATATTTACATCCATGAAATGCACTTCTTGCAAGGAAAATCAGGAGTGCTTGAACTTGCAAATGATTTAGTTAGCTGCAGTTAGCTTCTTATTTTGCCAACAAAAATGAGATGTTCCAAAATTTAGAAAGATTTATTTTCCCCACAAGTTCTGCATAGTTCGGCAAGAGCCAGGGGTAAAATGATAGATCTGAAACTCTACATGATCGATGAAATTATAAAGTTTAGCAACCTTTAATGGGAACAACAGAAAAGTTTCCTAATTTTCAACTTTTTTATGGCCAATTTGAATCAATTATAATCCCATCAAATAGACTGTGCATCCTGATGCTTGAGGGTTAAGTTAGACACATACAAAATATATACTGCTGCAATAGCATAATATTGCTGATACATATGGCATGTAAGTTAGGGTTATGTCAAAATCCAGCTGCAAATTGCTGACAAAATACTCTAAACAAAAAGATGAGTCAAATAGCCGATATTTACCAACCTTAGGCGGAACAGGCTTGACGAAGGAAGGTCGGACTGGAAGGCCATAAACCTTAATTTGGGAGGGTTTCAACCCGGCTTTTGATGCTCGCCTTGCAACCTCTTCTGATGGACAGTAGCATCTTGTTACAAGTTTGTGAAACCTACAAAGCAGATCACATAAAAGGTCAAACCTGCACATAAATTTAATTTTTTATTATAAAAAAAAAAAAAAAAAATCAAAACTCTTCACCAAACCTTACCATGTGGGATGGCATGTGCACAAGTCTGTCACTACGGTAGTAAACACAATCTTATCCAGAAGACCCTTTGTTCTCAAAATACGTAGTGGAACATGTTGCATCAGAGGATGAACACTTATAATGATATCAGGCTGGTACTTCATTAAACCTCTGAAAATCTCCCTGAAAAGAGTAAAGTAGAATTGATGAGAATCTGATGCAACTAGAAGAAAGAACTCCACACATTAAAAGGCAAAAGTGAAAAAACATTCTGTTGTTTTAGCCGATTACTTCATATCTTCATTTTCTTCTGTAGCAGTAAAAAATAAGTTGCTTCACAGTGGGACGTTCATACAGCCAACACCACATAGTGAAATAAAGCCTTCTTGTTGTTGTGTGTAAAGAAAATGTGTATACTATATGTTCATGTAGATAATTCAAACAGTAAATCGACAGTAGAAGTCCTATGCTGTAACAAACATTGAGAGCGAGAACAGATGATCATGGAAACCAGCCCTAAGGTAGAAGGAAAACCAAGGGATTTATATGTTCACATCTTACAACCCTCAATTGCAATGAAAAGATTGTAGAACAGACCATTCAGAAAATCCACATAGGCGTTCACAGGCAAAATGGAGAAACCCTTAACTAAAGTCAGGTGACCAAAGAACTAAAGCAGAAAGAAATACGAAAGAGACTGCATTGAAGTTTAATACAACCAAATTATCCAAAGCTTCTCTACACCAGCAGAAATAAACAACAAAGCGACAAGGCTGTTCAACATTCAACAATTTAAATACAAGGTAGACCAGGCTCAATAGCAAGACCAAGAAAGCAACATATGTAACACGCTAAATAAGAAAGTCAAGGATGACATAAGCTGCAGGTGCCAACAATTTCAAAAATTACTGACAGAATAACCCTTCAAAATTCAGCCTTAACAACCTCCTTTCTGGTGTATAGAAGAAATGGAGTAATTCAATAAGTGAGTACATCAAGAAAGTATCCTCACCTAGCTATAAAAGTTGAGGTAGCCGCAAAGTTAGATTGATGAACCACACGAGGGCATGAAGCATAATACGTCAGTTTCCACAAAGGGCCGTGTTTCACCAAAAAGTTATAGCTCCTAGGCAATTGGTTAAAAGGCCAAGGAGTATGATCTGTCCACAAATCAGTAATATATACCTGCAACATGAACTCTTTAAAACACAAAACAATCAACAAAACACATGCAACACCACAATCATTCCACACAAAAAATCAATACATCAATACATAAAAGTTTGAAGTACCTGATAGTCATCACCAAATTGTTCACGGAAAGCAGCCTTAATAGCCTCAGCAGAAGCCCTGTGTCCGCCACCAGTATCGCTCATTAGAATCAGAACTTTCTTGGGACTCTCTGACCCAACCCCATTACCAGGAATCCCCTCGCTCTCAGAAACACCATTTCCGTCCTCCCCGTACCCATGGCTATTCCCAGAACCAAACCCAAGTGAGGCAAAACCAATTGGGATCTTCTCACAGTACAACTTAATAAACCTGTTGAACTGATTGATAGCATTACTAATCCTAAAGGCAGCACCTTTGGAGCTCAAACTCAACGAAGCTACAGTTCGTGGCTTATTATGATCAACATAACGAACTAAGCCATCCAAATACAAACTGTTGGACGACAATGCGGAGTGCCCATTCAAACCGAAGCTGTTAGCGTACTTCAGAGATTTATCAAACACAAGGGAACCAAACTGGGGTACGTAATTAAACACATTAATAGTGGGTTCTTGAGAAACAGTTGAAGGCTGCATAATTCTTTCAAACTACAACCAAAAAAAACCAAAATCAATCCATACAAGCCATAATCACGTGAACAAATTTGTGGGTTCTCGCTATTCTGTAAAACCCACCAAGCCTAAATCTCAACAAAGACAAACGAGCAGGAAGAAAAAAGGGAAATTTGGGTTTAGTAAGAAGTTTGGCCTTTGTACTACTCGAATTCTCGTTAAACTGTGATTAATTGCGGCTGGGAAAAAGAGAGAATCTTGGGGCCGTATAGGAGCCAGAAACAGAATGGGGAGATTGAGGGAAGAGGGAAATTGGAGCCACAAAAGAGGAATCAATATAGGCGTAATTATTATAGTTGGAGAGAATGGCAATGAGCAAAAAATGCATATGCTGTTTGGTAGTAATAATATACTTTTGCACACTTCGCAAAAAGACGAAGAGCAGTGTCACACTGGATTGGTGGAGGCCTTGTTCCTGTGTGGTCACACAATTTTGGTGATAAACTTCCTTGTGATAAACTGGATGACTTGCCGTGTGCAAAGTACAAAATGACAAGAATTGATGCCTAATAACCAATAAAAAAGATATTGCAAAATATTAAAAATATACTCTATCCATCTCATTCATATAATCCAATTCTATTTTTTTTTATAAACTTCAATACAAAACGAACTATTAAAAATGGGACGGAGAGTGTAAAAACAAAATTTTAAATTATTATCTTACCTTTGATTTTAGTTTTGTCTTTATTAATTACGAAAAAGGCGATGAGATTGAGGATAATTAAAAAAATGTGTATTGGTTTAAGCTAAATTGTTTCCGCAACAGATAGAACTAAATGATTCTTTTTTTTAATATTGTAATACAATGGTATCCAAATGAATAATGATGACTATCAATTAGTTCCACAAATTAAAAATGCGAACCAGATTTTATGAATCGTGTGTGAATCATTGTACAACAAGATGATTTGGCTGATCTTCTTTGCTGTGATAATAGGTTATATTGCCATCTTATTTTGCTTTTGATATTCATAGTTAGACGCAAGATATTTACATTACTAACCCAATCTTACTATCGGTAATATGTGTATCATAAACATTTAACTACATTTTCTTAAGTTTATACTTTATAGGGGGAAATTAAAAAAGTACTAGTAGAGCCTAGCTGCCTATGACATTAGGGCACTAGTGGTTCTATCAAACCAACAAGCAATATAGTACCGTTGGCTGCTTTGAGGTTTGAACACGTTCTGAAATTTCCAATTATTAGGGCACTAGTGGTTCTATCAAACCAACAAGCAATATAGTACCGTTGGCTGCTTTGAGGTTTGAACACGTTCTGAAATTTCCAATTATAATAATATTTTGGATCAATTTCCCAAAAAAGTACTAATGTTGGGTTGTTTAAAGAAATGTTGGGATGATTTACAATGTGAAAAGGAAAATGTGTTGAACGTGCGTTGAACAGAATTCTTCATTTCCGTCCACTTAGTCAAATTGTTCATTTCCGTCCATTTCTTAAACCAACTTTAGTCAATTTCTGGTGATTATGCATGGAGTTGACCAAACATAAAAGCACTAGTGTCAAAAACCTCATCATAACAAAATAGATTTATCATTTACTAATCGAGTCTTATTTTAACAGTTTATTTTATTATATTCCTTCAGGTCCTTAATGTAAATGATTTTAATTTGGCCATAAGTTTCACCTAGTACGCATTTTTAATTGACGGAAAAACCTTAAAAGTATATTTTCACGATTCTTGTATTCACTTGACTATTATAAAATATGTTTAAGATTTTTTTGTCAATTAAAAATGTGTACTATATTATGTAGGATTAAATCCTTTAGCCTAACACTCCAAATCAAATAACGAGACCCAAACTAATGCGGAAGCGTATTACAGATGAATAATATCTTCAGGTTTGGTTTGATTTTCCAGATGATTTCTTTAACCGTGTAAAGAACGTGAGTTCTCAAACTGACAAATGGGGAGGCAGTTTTTGACGGCGTAAAAACTCACCCGGGGACCACAACCAGTTATATAGTAGTAGGGTTTCTTTTTCACCCATCACAGAAAAGAACCCTGGTCTTTTAGGTTTCTACACAATGATGTCCACAACTTTAACTTAATTAATAATTAGCCCAAAACTTTAGTTAATATAATTTAGATCACTTTAATTGGCCTATATTTTATGATAACATATAATATACAATTATATGTTTAGTGTATAAGTCCAAAATAACCTTACAGGTTAAACCTAAGATAAATCAAAATATCTTATATTAAGGATCGGAAGGGAGTATTAATTTAATTTAATCAAATAGACTTTGTAATATGAGACGGGAGGAGGACAATTTATTAGCTTTTTTGTTACAGAACCATTTTTTTACTTTTGATTCGGCGATACCTATACAAGTCGTGTGACTGATTTTTTACTGGCATTACTTGATAGAACAGGAAAAAAAAAAAAAAAAAAAGAAGATCGATATTGAAATACGAAAACAGGGATTATATTTCCTTCGTAAAAGAAAACTACTCGCATTTTCCGGCCGAATGTGGACAATGACACACGGACACAAAATGCCTGTAAAAAAATCAATGAACAAAATGGGCCAAATTTCTTGGGCCTTAGACGACTTTTCAGTGAAAATCTTGGAGCCGGGTCCAACAAGAAAAGGTACACAAAAAAAAAAAGAAATTTTAAAATAAAAATAGAAAAAAGAGAGGTACAAGAAATTATTAACACACAAATGCATGGATTTTTGTTCAAAAATCTGTTTTCTTCCCTCATCTGAATCCAATTTCTGGTGATTCCAAAGAAAAGAGCGATAGAATATTCACACCAAAAAAAAAAAAAAAAGAAGAAGAAATGTCGACTGGGTGTTGTTGTTGTAGTAGTCCAGTAGTTTCCATTTCATCATCAAGGAAATTAAGCACCAAGAATCTCGATTTTGCAGCAAGGACCCAAATCAGGGCTGTTGGATTGGGAAATTATGTCTCGGGGAGAAGGTGGATTAGACCTTGTGTTGTTGTGAAAGCTTCAGCTGTGGATTCTTATGAGAGCTCTTCCAACTTCATTAATCGCATGGAACGGGCGTGGTTGATCTCTCAGGTAAATTTGTTTTCCAATTAATGGTGCTGATTAGGGGGTTCAATTCAAATTGATGGTGGGATGTGCTTGTTGGTTTATGTCAAAAAAATTGGTTAGTTTTAGTAATCTTGTCGATCAAGTAAATCTTCCAATATTATTATTATTATTATTATTATTATTATTATTATTATTATTATTATTATTTTGGTTGAGTTTTACTGGTGAAGTAATAGATTGTTATTATGTGGGAAATTTTGACTTTTTGGAAGATGCCTATGATGTCTTGTGATCACAATTTAGTGTAGACCTGGGTTTCAGGGCACACAACAAACATGAATTAAAGTAGTTTCTGTAAGTCAGTTGCATGTTCTTTGATGATTTGTGTTTGATAGATAAGCTTGAATCAGGATTCATAGTGATGCAAGAGGAAATGATCCTCCTTCTGTAGATTGTAACGGGTACTATCCAAATGATGCCATTTTGGCTTAAGAAAGCAGGTTGATAGCAGATTTAGGAAAATTATACGAAAAAAAAGAAAAGAAAAAAGAAACTGGGGAAAGACGGTAATTCAAAAATGAAAATTCCACTGCCTGTAGCCAACTAAGAGCCTGTTAGGGATCAGGACCTCAGTTCCGAGGCCAGCTTGTGGATGCAGGAGAGAAAGTAGCTGAAAGAAGAGGATTTGTTCGCAGTAGTCCACCTTCTGCAAAGATCAGTTTAGGGATCAGGAAATCGGTTCTCGAGCATGTTGGCATATTAAATATCTACGAACCAACTTGAGGGGAGTGTTTATATATGTATATGTGACTGTTGTGTTAGTGGAAATGGTTCGATAAAATCATTGAGGTATATTGGCAAATGTTGTATACTTTTTGTGTTGATACAATACTGAATTCTTCTCCCACATCGACAAAATAAAACTGGAAAAGTCTTTAGAAATTCTTTCACTTTTCATCCCTACTAGACTTGGCTTAAATATAATCATTTTCGTAGTACAGAACCTATGTGAATAGAAATGGGTCTAAATCTGTATTTATCACAGTATCTATATCGGTATGGGGTTCAATCATAATGTTGGTTTCCACTTTACAGCTCTTCGTATATAACCCAACAGGCTAAAACCAGTATTCCTGTTGATGCTGCTGTAATGCATTCCATCACTTATTAACCCTTACAACAAATGGAAATCTATCAACTGATACTGCACAAGATCTTGTTATCTGCATATCTCTTGTTGAGCAAGCTTTATATTTAATATCAACCATATGAAGCTAGTGAATAAACTAAACTCTGAAAATGTAGTTTGCACCCCTTTTATGGAACATAGTAAGACTGGGTCCATCATTCCAATCTGTCCATGTTTTGTGCATGTATTATTCCATATTGAATTGTCACTCTTTTCACCTTGTGTTATGCATTTGCTGCATTCTCATTCTTATAATAGAATCAATTTGTTAATCCGATTGCCCAATCACATTTTCAGCAACCAAGGCCAGTGGCTTGTGCTTCTTGTGACTCGAATGGGCATGTTGACTGCCCATGGTGCAATGGTACTGGTTTTTTCATTCTTGGTGATAACATGTTGTGTCAAGTACCATCAAAAAATACAACTTGTATTATTTGTGCTGGAAAGGTAACCAACTGATTTTAGGCTCTGTTTTATCCAAGCTTTCAATAGTTCTTGAGTTGTAGTTCCCAGCCATTTTGTTAGATTCGGCATTAATGTGGTTGCTTCTCCTGTTTTAGGGTTCTATGTGCTGCTCCGACTGTAAAGGAACAGGATTTCGCGCAAAGTGGTTGGGGGAGCCTCCCATTCCGAAGTAGACTAGCGGGGTCGCATTGTGATCTGCTCAGCAGTTGCCGAGATTTCTGCAATATTAGGACGTTGATTTATATACTTGGGTCAAAATTGGTTTACTGCAGTGCAAAAGAGCCTGTGGATTAGTTTTTATTTGTTTGGCGGTAGTAGGAGACTGGAAGATTTTTTATTGTTTGTAAATCTGAAGACCACAGCTTAACACACACTTCTATATACTTACAGTGTACAACATATCATCAAAAGTTCCATGTACCAAAATGGATGTTATTGATCGTTTTCAATGTACTGGAAGTAGTTTGCAACCATGTGAGGTAAGGCTTCTCTCCCTAATATTGTCAAACACATTACTCTTGTTTTTTTTTTTTTTTTTTTGATGATTTAGACATTTAGCTTAGCCTCTTTTCTTTCTGTATTTGTTCTTTCACTCAGCGTTTTCCTCACCATCAACAGTCTTAGATGTCAAATAAGCCAATGGGTTTCCACTCCTCCTGATGTAAGGAATAAGAATAAGAACTTGGTTCGCATCTAGCTCTGACATACCTTTCTACTGTTAGTAGACCACAATAATCATGAAGTTTACTATTCTTCATTGACCAACCTTTAGAAACTTTGCCTTCTTTCCTACACACAAATTTCCTAACAAAGTTCATACAAGTTAGTGAACTTAATAATGAAATATTGCAGAAACTTGTTCTAAATGAGAAACGTTGAAGAAGAAATAGCTCTCATGCTATTCTTTAAAGCCAACCATTTACAGAAAACCATGCGTTTAGCGGGTCCACGAGCAACCAACTACAACATCCAAATCACCATTCTATGAAATAGTGAACATTACAATCCAACAGGAATCACTAGTGTTCACTGGTTAGTCCATTACAAGGCAAGTCAGAAATTTTTAATTCTCTGGGACAATTGCTGAGAAAAGAAGATGGTTTATGTCCTCAGTGCCGGACTCCAGCTTTTCATCCTCTGCAAAATCAAGAAAGCTCTAAAATTCAGCAAATATCTCATCATATCATCCCTATAAAAAAAGCAGCTCAGAATTTCCTCCGAGATGCTTCATCTTCAATGTTACAACATTACAACTGAAAATAAAGTAGAACACTTCTCTTGACATGTTCAGAAATAAACAAATTCAAAGATGTCTTTTGACATGGTTCCTAGATTCTTTTGAGAAGTGAATCAGGTTTGCCAGACAGATTGTCTCTTGTATAGAAGAGGGGGAACTGATGCTAAATTTCACACCAATATCAAGATTGTAATTTATCTTAGTTCTTAGATTAAAGACTAGGACTTCCACTGCTTTCCAGAGAAATTAAACTTAGCGGTGGCAAAACAGTACCTGTCTTAGACCTGACTTGAACAGTCCATTCTTCAATTATCTGCACATACAAAGTGAAAAATGATAAGGACCACTGAATTAAGCAGAAAAACTATGACTATGAGCAAACCTTAGGTTATGTAGCATGCCCAATAGAAACCATGACAGGATAATGCTTTCTGCCCTGCCATTCCACATGAGGGATCTTGCCATTCACAAATTTCGGTTGCTTGCTGACAAATGGTGCAAAATCTTCAGACACCATTTGGAAAATGCAACCTCCAGGAACTAAGCTCTGGGACTGTTTCTTGACATGAGCATTTAGTGACTCCTTTGAGAATTCGGATGTTCATTTTCTCTTTTTATTGGGCCAATCAGTTTTCAAAAGTCCAGATTCACAAAAAATTTTCAAAAAATAAACAAGTATTCCTCCAATAATGGCCAGGAATGCAGCAGTTGGAACAATGGGAAACTTATTTTGATGATTGATTGTTTCCTTGCATCAATATGAAAATCATTTCCTCAAACTAAAATACCTATACAAAGCTAAGTATCTTTTCATCACTGGAAAGCTAAGTCTCATTACACAGTATGATTGAAAAAGACAACTAATGAAGCACACGAATTTCTGGGAGAGAAAAAAAGTGAAAGGTATTCATGAGAGTGGCAAAGTCTTTTTTTTTTTCAAAGAAAATAAGCAAAAGGTAATAAGTAGAAATTCATTTTCACAGATTCTGTACCATGGAAATACAGATCCATGCCATCAGGCTTTCAATCTTTACAAACTAAACATGAAGGAAAAAGATTTTGCAATCTCAAAACTTCTTTTCCATGATAGAGGCACATACTTTCCTTGGAAACAGAGTTGATAATATCCTTTACTCAAATTTAAACCTTAAAGGAGTATGCCAGTGATACTCTTGAGTGAGGATTACCTAGATCAAAATATTCAAATTATCACTAAATGACAAGGTGGTGAATTATTGCATGAATACCCTCTTACCTGACTGAAGTTAGAGTATGCAGAGTCACTTGAATCATCAGTGACAGGAATCCTCGTGGATGCTTGCAGCTTCTGCAACATTGATCTGTTTCCAACTAAAACCATCCTTGCTTTGTCAATCAAACCCTGCAAATGTAGGGAAGGAACAAGTTGTACCACACAATTCAATATAATCTGAAAGGAACTCCAACTTATCACTAAAACTCTATCCATCAATGTTTGCAGAACTTCAGAAATAGATGGTTGAAAGCAAAGTGCAGTCCACTCAAAAATTTACTACAAGTCAAACGGACACGAAAAGAAGAAGGTGAGTATATCCCCATCTTTAGTGTCACTTCCTGTCCACATGTTCCCCATTTCCGAGGCAAGTTAACAACTCTCTCATTCTAAACACAATCAGAAGGAGAAACTAGGATCGAGAAAAAGCTACAAAATAGAAAAAAAACGAAAACAAACAATCTTGGTATTGAAATAAGGGCCCAAAAGATAGAGCTGACAAGTAGCCATAATATTTGATCACAGTTAAACAAGAAAAATGTAAAAGGCCTCCTTAACCAAATATACCGAAACGGTAAATACAGTATTTTAGTTTCTCCTTGTATCACATAATTCTAGGCCCATTAGACTCAGTAAATTCACTCTCCATTTCATTTATCCTCTGAAATAGTGCTCTCAAAAATAAACACACCAAAAAAAAATAAAATAAAATAAAAAATAATCACAAATCTGTTTCCTTTTTTAAAGAAAAGAATAACCCTTTTCAAAAAAAAAAAAAAAGAAAAAGAAAAGAATAACCACCTGCTTGGCTTCCAGTAGTTCACGGCATTGCTCCTTCAAGGAGGAAACATCCGCTTGAATCTTCTTAATTCTAGCGACGAGCTTCATCGGATTCGCCTGCACAAAAGAAAATGACAACCCACAATTAACATTCAGTTTAATGTTGAAAAATGAAAAGGGACGTTAGGGTTTTCAAACAACAATGGGAAATAAAAAAAAATCAAGATTACGAACAGGGAATAAGAGTAATCAAAATCAAAAAAATGAAAAGTGGGATTCGCAACTTAAAAAAACAAACAAACATACATTGTCAGGATACGTCTGCTGAAATTCCTTCTCGAGCTTAATATGGAGTACGGCGAGGTCATGATTGGCTTTAGTGAAGAGATTGAAGAGTCCATCTACTGCTTGATGCCTATGCTCCATCGCAATCCTTTTCTACACACAGTCACACACTAATAAGTCTTCTTCTCGTCTTCTCTATTTCCTAATGCTCTGTAGTTTGAATGGTAGAAAGTAGCGGAAATACTGCTATTTGGGAGTAAGGGGTTTATAATTGCAATTTTGTATTGCCCAACATTTGTCGTTATTTGTATTTATAAGTTTCATTTTAGTCATAAATTTTCCCTTATACCGTGGATTTAGTTTTGAGTGCTATCCATTAGTCAAAATTAATTCAAATTGATCTGAAATTCATGTATTTGACCACTACGTTTTTTAATGCTTTCATTTAAATCATAGTGCAAAATTATCCCAAACCAAATATTTAGGACTAAAAATGAAATTTAAATTAATTCAAATTGATCTGAAATTCATGTATTTGACCACTACGTTTTTTAATGCTTTCATTTAAATCATAGTGCAAAATTATCCCAAACCAAATATTTAGGACTAAAAATGAAATTTAAATTAATTCAAATTGAACTGAAATTCATGTATTTGACCACTACGTTTTTTAATGCTTTCATTTAAATCATAGTGCAAAATTATCCCAAACCAAATATTTAGGACTAAAAATGAAATTTTAGAAAATTACTTAAATGAATTATTTTTCGTTTGTTTTTTGAAAATTCTGCATTCAAACTTCTTATACTTCATCATTTCAATTTTATTTCTTCAACTATTATGAGTTATGATATTAACATTTTTTTCCTCTTCAACCTTCTCTTCCTTTTTTTTCTTTTGATAAACTCTCTTTTCATATTTTTGGAACTTGATATTTAATTTTTATTTATCACACTAGCATAGCTAAAAAGATGGTATTAGTTTTCTCTGTCTTCTTGTCATCATAAATAAATTTCCAAAAAAAAAAATAAAAAATTTCAACTACCATTTTCTTATTTGTACATACTAAAGTACCCTTTTTTAATTAGTCAAATTTTATTTTTTTACTTTTGGTTGTGCAACATAATTGCAACCAAACTATCAGATTTGACTAATGACATTATTTTTCATGGCTGCGAAAAAATTGCGTGCCATTAAATAATGAGACCATGGATGGGAAAATGTGGAGAGAGAACAATATGAGTAAAGTGTGTCTATTGCCCATCAATTATCAAAGAGTAAAATATCTAAATAGTCGCTTATATTTGGGTTTACTTGAATTTATGTTCTTAATATTAATATTTCAATATCGTAGTCCCAAACAATATGTTTTCAAACTTTTTTTGTCCCATTTCACTGTTTCCGGCCGTTGACATGCCGGAATCAGGGGTATTTTTATCTTTTAATTTAAATTGAACTTCTATTAAAATTTAAATCATTAAAAATATTTAAAAATTCATATTTCATTATTTAATTGTTAAAATATTATAAACTTTTAAAATTTACATTATTTTCAAAATTACTTTTTTCGTTTACCATTTAGTTTAAGTACACATTAATTGGTAATTATATTGTACTTTTTAACTTTGTACCGACTGTAGCTTAAAAATTTTTATCGAATTTTATTAAATAATTCAAAATTCAATTTTTTTTTAAAAAAAAAGAAAGAAAAAACAAAACCAAGATTTTTTTTTTACTTTGACCGCTACAGTAAACCCTAAATGGTAATTATGTTACACTTTTAACCTTGGACCCACTGTAACTTAATAACTTTACAGAGTTACAGTAAATAATTCAAAATTCACTTTTTTTATAAAAATAAAAGAAAAAGCAAAACCAAGATCTTTTTCTTTTGTAACTCAGTAAATTTTGAATTTTAAATTATTTACTGTAACTCGATAAACTTTTAAGTTGCTGTGACTCCAAGATTAAAAGTGCAACATAATTACCATTTAGGGTTCACTGTAGCGGTCAAAGTAAAATAAATCCTTGTTTTACTTTTATTTTTTTTTAAAAAAATAAATTTTAAATTATTTACTGTAACTCGATAAATTTTTTAAGTTACGGAGGGTCCAAGGTTAAAAGTGCAACATAATTACCATTTAAGGTTTACTGTAACAGTCAAAATAAAAAAAAATCTTGATTTTGCTTTTAAAAAAACAAAGTTGAATTTTAAATTATTTACTGTAACTCAGTAAATTTTTTAAATTACAGTGGGCTCAAGATTAAAAGTGCAACATAATTACCATTTAGGGTTTACTGTAGCGGTCAAAGTAAAAAATATCTTGGTTTTTCTTTTTCTTTTTTTTTTTAAAAATTAAATTTTGCATTATTTAGTGTAACTCGGTAAATTTTATAAGTTACAGTGGGCCTAAAGTTAAAAGTGCAATATAATTATCATTTACGATGTACTTAAAGTAAATGGTAAATTAAAAAAGCAATTTTGAAAATAATGTTAATTTTAAAATTTTATAATTATATTTTAATATGTAATATTTTAAATTATAATGAAATGTGAATTTTAATATATTTTAATGATTTAAATTTTAATAGAAATTGAAATTAAATGAAAAGACGAAAAGATCCCTAATTTCGGCATGAAACAGTGAAATGGGACTAAAAAAGTTTGAAAACATAATACTTGGGACTACGATATTGAAATGTTAATGTTAGGGACATAAATTCAAGTAGACTCAAATGTAAGGGACCATTTGAACATTTTACTCATTATCAACACATGAAGGAAAACATTTTACATGAGTAACAAAACAAAAAATTATATCCCTTCCCCCGTTGACGCTATAATCATACATTTTTCCTCAATATTCTTCGTTATCTGAACAATTTTAGTTATATAAAGGTTGAAAATATAGGTATATGAGTAAGAAACAAAGAAATTTATTTTTGTGGAACTGTTTAGGTTTTACGTGTGAAATAATTAATCATAGATAGGAATTATCTCCATAAATATACGATTATTTGTAATCAAACCTATATCTTACTATATTAGAAACAAAAACCACACTTTAGAGAAAGTACCACCATTTGCCATGTGCCATTTCCACATCATATTTTTAAAATAAATTTTTATTTACACATCTCCTAGACTTAAAAGGCAAATGCAGTCCAAATCCACCTTCACCTCCTATTTTCGCCAAAAAAAAAAAATCACGTGTTCATAAAAAATCCAAATCCTCATCCCCATCTCCACAACAATCGACTCCCTAATCAATTCCTTCTCCACAATTGAAAAAAAAAAAATTCCTCATCAATCATCAATTTAGAATATGTGGTGAAATATACTCCTTTCCTATTAGCATGTTAAATTTTTTCATTGGTGATGATCAACTACATCCTAATCTGATAAAATTTCGAGTTCAAAAAATATTCTCTTTACCTCACTATATAAAACAAAGGAAAAAAAAAGTCCCATTGATCTTGCTTCGGCCATTATGGTGGTGCCATTATAGGTATTAAAATTTGAATGATTTTATTTCAGCAGATCATTTGTTTGGCTTTTATTATTTTTTGTTTTTCTCGTTCAAGAATAGTGTTATTACTATTATTTTATGCGTTCATCCGTTACAGCTACCCTATTCACTGTTAGGTAATATGATGTGATTTCTTATATGGTTAGTTAGCCTAGAATTTTTGTATGATTTTAGTTCTGTTTGTATTGAATTGATTAATTGAGTTTTTGTTACAAAGTGTGGTTTTTTAAATTTGTTTTTTATATTTCATTCAATTAGACTGGTTTTCTTTTTTTAATTATGGAGTCTCAGGTTTTTTTTCGTATATGGTCAGTTATGAAGTGTGTTTTTTCTTTGTTTAATTGCTTTTGATTTTGTTTCATACTCCCAGTTGACCAATTATTATTATTATTATTTTATTTTATTTACAAATGAAGCGTTTTTTTTTTGTGTTCGGTCTTTCAAGGATATACTTTTCTTTGGATTTGGTTTTTGGACTTTTTCTAGTTCCTTATCATATAAATAGTTTAGGTCGCTTCTTCTAACTAATTTATGGGGAAGCTTTTTATGAATTTGAGGTGGAGAGAGAAGGAATGATTTTTCTACGTTTATTTGGGTTTTATTACATCATTTTTACCTACAAAAAAAAATAAATTTCTGAATTTTTAATGGGCTATCTTTTACTTTTTTTTTTTAATTTGCCATGGTGAGGTGAGTTGTTTTTTGCTATAACTTGAAACCTATGTAAATTTACATTATTTTTATTCTCATATTTGTGATCAACCAGTTTCAACAATTAACCAGTTTCAAAATCACATTTTTGATATTTTACTACCTATAAACCTTTAGAAGAAACAGTTTCAACAATTAAGCGTATACCCTTTGGAGTAAGCTTACTACAAAGCTATTGTAAATCTCCAAAACTAAGTATTGATTTGGCACAACCAATGGAGAACATCAATAAATTATCTTACTAATATTTAAACTTATGAGGATGCTTTTATATTTTGTCTTGCATTTACTTCAAGACATATATTTGATCAAGTTTATTTATATTTAAGAAGTAACACTTATAAAATATTTTTAAAATCTTCAAACATTTCTAAAACGTACCGGGCCAAATACAATTTTTTTTTATGCCAAATACGAACATTTCTATGGTCACACTTATAAAACATTTCTAAATTCTTCAAACATTTCTAAAATATATCGACCCAAATACAAAATAGATTTTTTTTCTAGATACAAATATTTCTAAAATCTATAGATATATTGGGCCAGGGTCGCGCATTGCGCCACCAGACATCACTAGTATATATATATAATGATTTTGGCATACATGGTGTGTAATTGGAGAGTAAAAATTAATTATTAATTATGTTACATTTACATTAATTGACCAAATATAACAATGTCAGATAAAATTAGTTGTACAACAAAACCAACATATGGATTCAAATCAAGATTTTGTTTTAATAGTTTGTGAAAATTTGTGGTGGATTAATTAAATTTGGAGAATTGATAAGGTTGTAGCTAATTGGTCTAAGAGCTAAAGTGGATCACAACTTTTACTTAAACTATTTTAATTTTAAAATTTAATTATATCATTTAGAAAATAACTTATAAAATTTAGTGGGGATAAAAGACAAAAAACAACGTGAATATTTTAATAATATCTCATTTTACTTAGTGTTTTATAAAGAAAATGATAAACATAATGAAAACAAAATAGTGAAAAAAAATAGTGAGTGATGTGGATTATTATGACCCCTCTATTATGTTGGTAATTTT